CTATAGTCCCAGCTACTCGGGAGGCTGAGGCAGGAGAATGGCGTGAACCCGGGAGGCGGAGCTTGCAGTGAGCCGAGATCACGCCACTGCACTCCAGACTAGGAGAGAGAGCGAGACTCTGTCTCAAATAAATAAGTAAATAAATAAATAAATAAATAAATAAAAAGATCTGCTTTTGTGCTTTAAGCAGATGTTTCCTTACTTGCATATGACACTGTTGACCATTCTGTCCTTCTTGAAAGACTCTTTTTTTTTTGAAACAGGTCTTGCTCTGACCCAGGTTGGAGTACAGTGTTATGATCTCTGCTCACTACAGTCTCCACTTCCTGGGTTCAAGTGATCCTCCCACCTCAGCTTCCCAAGTAGCTGGGACTATGGGCGTGCACCACCACGACTGACTGATTTTTATTTTATTTTTTAAATTTTTTTATAGAAACAATGTCTCACTATCTTACCCAGGCTGGTCTTGAAATCCTGGGCTCATGCGATCCTTCTGCCTCGGCCTCCCAAGTGCTGGGATTATAGACATGAGCCACTGTGCCCTAGCCAAAAGACTCTTCCTTTGGTTTCTACAACACTAGATTTTTCTAGGTTATTCTTGTACTTTCCTAGATTCCCCTTTCAGTTTTCTCAAAGTCTAAATTCTATATTTTCTCTAATTCTTGGTGCTTTCCTTTCAATGCTTCCACTATCCTTGTCATAATATATCAAAATAAATGAAAGATCTTCACAAAGGAAATGGTATTCTAATCTTAAAATCAAGGTGAAAGGCACAATAAAGCAATAAAATAAAATGTAAGCTCTAAACGATTGTATTTACATATAATTCTCTTTACACAAAGAACTGCATTAATTAGGTATATCTTGGATGTTTATAAAGCTCTCTGCCTCCTAGTCTTTTGCTATTAAAAAAAAGCAATTTATCCCCAACTGTACCATATTAAAAGATGTTTCTGAAGTGTTTTTTTTTTTTTTCCTATGCAAAACATAGGAAAGTTTCAAGTTTCTATAAAGCTCTCTGCTTTATAAACATCCAAGATAGACGTTAACCTGGTCAAGAGCCAGTAACTTACCTTCTCAATGTCATGTATATTATTCCAGTACAGGGTCATGCATACATGCAACAAAAATCAATGGCTTATGAAATATATTTTCTATTTTTCTCTCTCCCCATAGGTAGAATTTCTTCAGGATGAAATATATGTTTTCTATGCTTGACACACTAGCCAATTACATAATTTTTTTTTTGAGTCAGGGTCTCCCTCTGCCACCAAGGCTGGAGTGCAGTGGCACCATCATAGTTTGCTGAATCCTTGACCCCCTGGGCTGAAGCAATCCTCCTGCCCCAGCCTCCTGAGTAGCTGGGACTACAGGTATGTGCCAATACATTTGGCTAATTTCTTAAATTTTTAGTAGAGACAAAGTTTCTCTACGTTGCCTATGCCGGTCTCAAACTCCTGAGCTCAAGCAATCTTCCTGCCCCAGCCTCCCAAAGTGCTAGGATTACAGGTGTAAGCTACCATGTCTAGCTCAATAATATAATTTTTTATACAAATAATTCAAGCCAAGTTATCATAATTGTTTTCCATACCTCCAGTCTTGTTCACTTTACCTAACAAATAAATACATGAAACTGGTATTAAATCAAAGTGATCTTTCTAAAATCCGAATCAGTTCCTACTGATTTACTCCTTAAAGCTCATTTTTGTTTTTTGTTTTTTTTCAGGCGGAGACTCGCTCTGTCGCCCAGGCTGGAGTGTACTGGCGTGATCTCGGCTCACTGCAACCTCTCCTGCCTGGGTTCAAGCAATTTTTCAGCCTCAGCCTCCCGAGTATCTAGAATTACAGGCACCTACTACCATGCCTGGCTAATTCTTGTATTTTTAGTAGAGACAGGGTTTTGCCATGTTGTCCAGGCTGGTCTTGAACTCCTGACCTCAGGTGATCTGCCTGCCTCCACCTCCCAAAGTGCTGGGATTACAGGCATGAGACACCATGCCCGCCCTTAAACTTCGTTTTGAGAGCTTAATGATCCTCCATGATGTAAACACTACCTAATTTTATCTACCACTTCTCTATCTTTTCACTCATACACCACCACCAAAGTACTTACTATTTTCCAAACATACTTTTTTGATGTTTTACAATTCTGTGGTTTGCAGATGCTCTTCTATTTGCAATATTCCTCTCTGTCCCTATTCACCAAATTTCTATTCCTCCTTCAAAACTAAGATAAAAAACCATTTCATTCTGCAAATTCTTTCCTAAGTTCTCCTATCCTAGTCCATATCACACACTAGGAGATGACACCCTCTTTTAGATCATTATTATACCTTATGTAAAACCTGTTACAGCATTTATCACTTTGTATTGTAACTTTTTCTGTTTCTATCACCCTACTAGGCTGAACTCCTAAAGCACAGATGCCATGTCTTATTCATCTTGCACAATCCCTGCCAAACAGTAAACACTCAATACATGACTGTGGGATATATGAATGAACAACTGATGGGCTTTCTGAATATATACCTAAATTAAAGAATCAGATAAATAAATGGGTAAAGGAAACTTAAATGTCTTAACATGGATAAGCTGCAAACTTCACCCCTAAAAATCTACAAAGTAAACAAAGGCAGCTGCAAAGCAGTCAAGAGCAGGACTTATAATAAACACAGACTCACTGGTGATTCTCACTGCCCGGTCAGTCCGGAAATCCTCTGTGTCTGGTTCATCAAGGTCTTCCAGGAAATTATATTCTGGATCATCATCATCATCTGCTTCATCTAGAGAAAAAAGTGTTTCAGATGCTTATTCCCAACTTCGTTCTCAAACTTCTAAGAATCTGTTCCAATAAAGCACATTTCTTCTTTTTTTTTTTTGAGACAGGGTCTCACTCTGTCGCCCAGGCTGGAGTGCAGCTCACTGCAACCTCCCCCTCCCAGGCGCAAGTGATCCTCCCACCTCAGCCTCCTGAGTAGCTGGGACCGCAGGCAAACGCCACCATGCCCAGCTAATTTTGTGTAGTATATTCCATGAAAATAGTATTTCTGTAAAAGCTACTTGTACAATGAAGCTGACAGTGAAAAAAGGAATGGCCCAAATTCCCAACAATTAGAGAATGACTATATAATTATAATTTCTTAGTATAAAATAGTACAGGTTGAGCATTCCAAATCCAAAACTCCAAAATCTGAAACTTTGTGTGTGCAAATATGACTCTCAAGGGAAATAGCCACTGGAGCATTTCAGATTTCAAATTTTCTTTTTCCTTTTTTTTGAGACAGGGTCTCACTCCGTCACCCAGGCCAGAGTGCAGTGGCATGATCATGGCTCACTGCAGCCTTGACTGCCCAGGCTCAGGCGATTGTCACACCTCAGCCTCCCAAGTAGCTGGGATTACAGGCACATGCCACCATGCCCAACTAATTTTTGTTATTTTCAGTAGAGACAGGATTTTGCTATGTTGACCAGGCTGGTCTTGAACTCCTGGGTTCAAGCGATCTGAATGCCTCGGCCTCCCAAAATGCTGAGATTACAGCATGAGCCACTGTATCCCGCCCAGATTTCAAATTTTCAAATTTGGTATGCTTATCTGTTAAGTATAATACTACATATATTCTAATATCTGAAAAAATCTGAAAGTCAAAACATTTCTGGTCCTGAGCATTTTGGATGATGGTGATACTCAACATGTATACATATAAAATGTGAATATGTAACCATTCTATAAATGTTCAATACATGTATGACAAAAGTAAAATACATACATAATAATCATAAGCATGAAAAATTATATCCTTACAATAAGAATCATAACTAAAAATACACAAAAATAATAAACATTTGTTAGAATAATAGAAACATGAGTGTTTTTCTCCCTTTTAATAGTCTTTTTTCTTTTCTTTTTTTTTTTTTTGACATGCAGTCTCGCTCTGTCACCCAGGCTGGAGTGCAGTGGCACGATCTTGGCTCGCTGCAAACTCTGCCTCCCAGGTTCGAGCAATTCTCCTGCCTCAGCCTACCAAGTAGCTGGGATTACAGACGCCCGCCACCATGCCCATCTGAAGAAAGAAAAAAAAAAAGTAGAAATGAGGTCTCACTGTGTTTCCCAGGCTGGTCTCGACTTCCTGGCCTCAAGCAATCCTCGTACCTTGGCTTCCCGTAGTACTGGGATTACAGGCACGAGTCATCACACCTGGACTATCTTTTCTAAATGTTTGAGAAAAGTTCTAAATTTAAATTCAGAACTAAAATTTAATTATTCTTATCCCCACATTAATGTGGAAAACTAAAAAGTAACTACACATTGAAACTCTCACAGATGCATATCAAACTATTATCAGTGGTCCCTCTGGGAAATGAAACTTGAACCTTGGTGTCAAACGCCTTGGAAAGGACTGGTAGGAAAATGAAGTGTCAATAAATAAACTCTAAGAGACAAACCCCAAAAAAATCATATTAAAAATTTCACATATGTAGATACATACATTTTTCTTGGGGGGAAGGCTTCAATTGTTTTATTTTTGTAATATTTGATTTCTTTATACCAAACATATTATTCTTACAGTTTTAACAGTGAAAAAAGAGAAAACTCTGGAAAGAATACATCCTACAGAACCCAGCATATAGAGTATATCATGTCACTTCTATTCAGATGCCTCCTCTCCTCCCTGTCACTGTTTTCAAAAATCTTTCCAAGGTCCATTCCAATTACCAGCTCTTTCATGTAGCTGTCTCTGATCATCCTAAACAAAAGTTACCCTGTCCTCTTCTAAAACCTTACAACAGCATTTACGCCACTTTGATGGTATATCTGAGTTTATTCAACAGCTTCATTCATTTACAATGTATTGGCTGAGCGCAGTGGCTCACTCCTGTAATCTCAGCACTTTGGGAGGCAGAGGTAGGAGGATCACTTGAGCGCAGGAGTTTGAGATCAGCCTGGGCAACATGGCAAAACCCCAACTCTACAAAAAATACAAAAATTCGCCGGGCATGATGGCACAAGCCTGTATTCCCAACTATTCAGGAGGCTGAGGTGGGAGAATTGCTTGCGCCGAGGAGGTCAAGGCTGCAATGAGCTGAGATCTCACCACTGCACACCAGCCTGTGTGACAGAGTGAGACCCAGTCTCTCACACACACACACAAACAAATACAATGTATTGTGAACCTAACAATGGGCCAGGCACCCTGTCATTCATACAGCTTTTATTCCATGACCAAATGATTATGCTCCTTTATCCCTCACAGATTCTAGCACAATGCCTTGTATAAAGAAAGTACTCAAACATTTGCCAAATGATATACAATGTAATTATTAATAGTATCATAAGGTACATTCAAGGACTTGTTATTTTCTTTCATTCACTTATCCTGACTTACTCCTAGCATTACCTACCCAACCATTTACTCAGTCTATTTTTTTTTTTTTTTTGAGATAGAGTCTTGCTCTGTTGCTAGGCTGGAGTGCGGTGGTGTTATCTCAGCTCACTTCAACCTCTGCCTACCAGGTTCAAGTGATGCTCCTGCCTCAGCCGACTAAGTAGCTGGGACTACAGGCATGCGCCACCACACCCAGCTAATTTCTGTATTTTTATTAGAGACAGGGTTTCACCATGTTGGCCAGGATGGTCTCAATCTCTTGACCTTGTGATCCGCCCACCTCGGCCTCCCAAAGTGCTGGGATTATAGGCGTGAGCCACCACACCTGGCCTACTTAGTCTGTTTCCATCCAAACTTTTACCTGATCACTATTCCTTCCCCATTTCTGATAATACCACTACTTCTTTAGGGTTACCACATACTTCAACCACACTGTTCTATGAGGTGCTATCAATCACCAGACTCCATGCTGAACAGTCTCCCTATTAATCCCATGCAACACCAAGAGACTGGGCATGAGATCAAACCAAGCCAATCTGACTTGTTCCCCTGGATTTTATAAGTGAAGTTTGTAGGGGAGAGTCCTGAAGCGTAGACAAAGCAAAAAGTAATCATGGAGTGCTTATGAACAGAGTTCTAACCTTGTAGAAAAATAAATGTGAGAAGGGAGCTGAGTGACAAAAGGAAGTAAAATAGAGAGGAAAGGGGGATCCTAACAGTCCCTCAGTTCCACTGCTGATTTACTACACTTCCAAAGTCTGGTTTCATTTCACCCCACAAGATAGAGTTAGGATTCTTTCACTTCATCATGAAGACCCTTAACTAACATGATATTCTTTTGGTAAATCATTGAACCCTAATGAAATCATATATAAAATTTTGAATGGGCCAGGCACAGTGGCTCATGCCTGTAATCCTAGCTCCTTGGGAGGCCGAGGTGGGAGGATCTCTTGAGGCAAGAGTTTAAGACCAGTGTGAGCAACATTTCTCTACAGAAATTTTTTTTTTTTTTTTTGAGACGGAGCCTTGCTCGTCGCCCTGGATGGAGTGCAGTGGCACAATCTTGGCTCACTGCAAGCTCCACCTCCTGGGTTCATGCCATTCTCCTGCCTCAACCTCCAGAGTAGCTGGGACTATAGGTGCCCGCCACCACGCCCGGCTAATTTTTTTTGTATTTTTAGTAGAGACGGGGTTTCATCATGTTAGCCAGGATGGTCTTGATCTCCTGACCTCGTGATCTGCCCGCCTCGGCCTCCCAAAGTGCTGGGATTACAGGCGTGAGCCAACGTGCCCGGCCCAGAAATTTTTCTAAAAATTAGCCAGGCAAGGTGCTGCATGTCTGTAATCTCAGTTACTTGGGAGGCTGAGACCTGAAGAGTATCTCTTGAGGCCAGGAGTTTAAGGCTACAGTGAGCTATGGTCACACCACTGTGAACCACCCTGGGCAACACCCTGTTTTGGGACGGTGTCTCAAAAACAAAAGACAACAACAAAACTATGTATGCATGTATGTTTCAAGGGATTCAAATCTCAGCATTCAACAATCTTAGGATTCAAGATTCCTTACCCAGAAAAAAAAAAAAAAAAAGAAAGAAAGAAATGCTAAGAACTGGCCCAGGCATGGCGGCTCATGCCTATAATTCTGGCATTCAGGAGGCCAAGGTAGGAGGATTGCTTGAGGTCAGGAGTTTGGGAACAGCCTGGGCAACATAGTGAGACCTCGTTTCTACAAAAAAAAAAAAAATTAGTCAGGCACAGTGGCATGTGCCTGTAGTTCCAGCTACTCAGTGGGGTAAAGCAGAGGATTGCTTGAGCCCAGGAGGTCAACGCTGCAATGAACCGTGACTGCAACACTGCACTCAGCCTGGGTGACAGAGTGAGACCCTATCTCATGAAAAAAAAAAAAAAAAAAGAAAGAAAGAAAAAGAAAAATTAACTACTGATTTAAGATAAATTATCAGTTAAATATAAATTAAATCAATTAACCCAAACCATTCCATTCTATACCCTTCCAAATAATAAAAATTTTACAACAGATAATGGACACTGTATATAATAAATCACAAACCAAAACTTACCTTCATTCCCCACATCATCATTCATAAGTCCCCCTAGCCACATCTTCCAGTCCTCATCATCTGCTGTATTGGGGTCATACATATCTGGAGTGATGTCTGGAGCTTGGAGCTCTGCCTCTAGTTGGCCCAGGGGAACATCTTTCAGGGGCATCTTAGAACGCGTTCGAAATGCAATGAGACTGTCATCCATGGACTGGACAATGAAGAAAGAAAAACAAGTCACTGAGTGAGTGATGTTTCCAAACCTCATCATCACTCCTTTTCTTCTCATCTTAGCTTAAGTAACAGGATCTTTCCTCTAAACAATTTGGATTTATTATTGCTTGAGAAACTTTAAGAAACACGACATAAAAAAGAAATAAAATAAAATAAATGACATCAGTTTGAAACCAACATTTTATGAAAATTTGTAACAGCTTTATTGAGATATAATTCACATACCATAAATTTCACCCTTTTAAAGTACATAACTGAACGGATTTTCATATATTCACAGAGTTATACAACCATCACCCTTATCTAATTTCAGAACATTTCATTACCCCCAAAAGAAACCCCATCCATTAGTAATCGCTTCCCTTTCCCCCTCCTCCCAGCCCCGTTAAGCATTAATCTATTTTCTGTCTCTATGGATTTGTTTATGCTGGACGTTTCACTTAGATGGAATCATACAATGTGTGGCCTGTCTCTGGCCGCTTTCAGTTAGCATAATGCATTCAAATCCCACCCTGTTGTAGTATCTATCAATACTTTTTTTTTTTTTTGAGACGGAGTCTTGCTTTGTTGCCCGGGCTAGAATGTAATGGTGTCATCTCGGTTCACTGCAACCTCTGCCTCTTGGGTTCAAGCGATTCTCCTGCCTCAGCCTCCCAAGTAGTTGGGAATTACAGGCGCCGGCCACCACATCCGACTAATTTTTGTATTTTTAGTAGAGATGGGGTGTCACCATGTTAAGCAAGCTGGTCTCGAACTCCTGACCTCAGGTGATCTGCCCGCCACAGCCTCCCAAAGTGTTCGGATTACAGTTGTGAGCCACCGTGCCTGGACATTTTTTTTTTTTTTTTTTTCTTAAGAGATAGGGTCTCGATCTGTTATCCAAGCTAGAGCACTGGCACAATCAGAGCTGACTGCAGCTTCAAACTCCTGGGCTCAAGCAATTCTCCTGCCTCAGTCTCCCAAGTAGCTGGGACTACAGGCATGCACTACCATGCTCGGCTAATTTTTTTTTTTTTTTTTAGACGGAGTCGTGTTCTGTCGCCCCTTCTGGAGTACAGTGGTACGATCTCGGATCACTGCAACCTCCATCTCCCAAGTTCGGGCGATTCTCCTGCCTCGGCCTCCCGAATAGCTGGGACTACAGGCATGTGCCACCACACCTGGCTAACTTTTGTACTTTTAGTAGAAATGGGGTTTCACCATGTTGGCCAGGCTTGTCTTGAACTCCTGGCCCCAGGTGATCTACCTGCTCAGCCTCCCAAAGTGTTGGGATTACAGGTGTGAGCCACTGGATCCATGTTCAGCTAATTTTTCTCATTTTTTGTACAGATAGGGGAGAAAGTGAGAGACCTCCATCTTTGTACTTTTTCAAGACTGTTTTGGCTATTCTGGGCCTGTGCAATTCCACATGAATTTTAGGATTAGGTTGTTAATTTCTACAAAAATTGTAGCTGGGATTTGGATAGGGACTGCACTGAATCTGTAGATCAATTTGGGAAGCTCCCCCTAGACTACACTGCATCAACCTCCTAATGGGTTTCTATTTACCCTCTTGCTTTACTCTAGCCCATTTCCCACACGTTAACCAAAAGGAATTTTTAACATTAATCTGAAAATATCACAAAAATCTTTTCTAATTTTTTTTTTTTTTTTTTTAATGGAGTCTCACTCTTTCCTAGGCTGGAGTGCAGTGGCGTGATCTCAGCTCACTGCAACCTCCACTTGCCAGGTTCAAGCAATTCTCCTGCCTCAGCCTCCTAAGTAACTGGGATTACAGGTGTGCGCCACCACACCCGGTAATTTTTTTGTATTTTTTGTTAGAGACGGGATTTACCATGTTGGCCAGGCTGGTCTTGAAATCCTGACCTCAGGTGATCCACCCACCTCGGCCTCCCAAAGTGCTGGGATTACAAGCATGAGCCACCACGCTGGGCATCTATTCTAATGTTTAAAATACAATCTATACTCCTTATCATGGTTTCCTAAGACCTTCATGATCTAGCTCTTGCCTTACTCTCTGACCTCATTTCTACCTCTCTTTTTCACAATCCCACCCTTCATGTAGTTTCTATTCCTTAACCATGCCAAGGTTGTCTCTATCTTAGCGACTTAGAATGTGCTGTTTCTTCCATATGGAGCACTTTTCCTCCCGAGATCTTTCACTTGCCTGGCTTCCTCTCATTCGGATCTCAGCTTAAATGCCATCTCCTCAAAGAGGCCTTTTTGTTTTGTTTTCTTTTTTTGACAGTCTTGCTCTGTTGCCCAGGCTAGAGTGCCATAGCGTGATCACAGCTCACTACAGCCTCGACCTCCTAAGCTCAGCACCCCACGTAGCTGAGGCTAAAGGTGCGTGCCGGTATGCCCAGCCAAGTTTTGTATTTTTTGTAGGGACAAGGTCTCACTATGTTACCCAGGCCTGTCTTGACTTCCTGGGTTCATGTGATCCGCTCTCCTTGGCCTCCTAAAGTGTTGGGATTACGGACATGAGCCACCAAACCCAACCCTGTTTTTTAAATTTTTTTAAAGTAAGTTCTCATACTATTGCCCATGCTGGAGTATAGGGGTGCAGTCATGGCTCACTGTAGTCTCAAACTCTCAGGCTTAATCAATCCTCCCGCCTCAGCCACCAAGCAGCTAAGAATACAGGCATGCGCCACCACACCTAGATAATTTTTCTGAATTTTTGGAGAGTCGGAGTCTCACTATATGGCCCAGCCTGGTCTCAAACTCCTAGCCTCAAGCAATCTTGTAGTCTAGGCCTCCCAAAGTGATGGAATTACAGCCAAGGAGGTCTTTTTTGATCAGCTTATCTAAAGTTCTCTGATAGGAAGTTTCATATTTCCTCATTTTAATTTAGTTCATAGCACTTAACCACTATCTGAATTTACTTGTTTATATGCTAATAGTCTATCTCCCCTCAATAGACTGTAAGTTCCATGAAGAACAACTTTTTCTGTCTTCTGCACTGTGGTTTCTCAACTTCAACCATTCAGTATGTGTTTGCTAAATAAATGGTTAGATAAAAAACTACTACTGCCCCTACTACGATTTATTCACTCAAAAGCATGATGATTAAATGACTGACTATTCCATTCAATATTCCATTTTTAATTATATACATTACATATATATATAATTATAAATATATATGTATATAATTGAAATGGAGTCTTGCTCTGTCACTCAGGCTGGAGTGCAGTGGCGCCATCTCAGCTCACTGCAACCTTCGCTTCCCGGGTTCAAGCAATTTTTGTGCCTCAGCCTCCCAAGTAGCTGGGATTACAGGTGCTTGCCACCACGCCCAGCTAATATTTGTATTTGTGGAGACGGGGTTTCACCATGTTGACCAGGCTGGTCTCAAACTCCTGACCTCAGGTGATCCATCTGCCTCAGCCTCCCAAAGTGCTGGGATTACAGGTGTGAGCCACTGTGCCCAGCCTTAATTATATTCTTTATTTTTAGGATTTATTTTTAAATTATTATATTATACTTAAAAATTTTAGGACAGACATATTTTTCATTGACCTGCAAGAATGATAGGGGAAACTTGGAACATTAAAATTTACTGGCTGAGGCCGGGCGCGGTGGCTCACGCCTGTAATCCCAGCACTTTGGGAGGTCAAGGCAGGTGGATCACAAGGTCAGGAGATTGAGACCATCCTGGCTAACACGGTGAAACACTGTCTCTACTAAAAAATACAAAAAATTAGCTGGGTGTGGTGGCGGGCACCTGTAGTCCCAGCTACCTGGGAGGCTGAGGCAGAAAAATGGCATGAACCTGGGAGGTGAAGATTGCAGTGAGCCGAGATTGCGCCACTGCACTCCAGCCTGGGCAACAGAGCAAGACTCTATCTCAAAAAAAAAAAAAAGAAAGAATAATCAATGGATGCTAATATTAGTGTGAGAAAAATAATTTGATTAATTGGGCTGGGCACATCAGCTCACGTCTGTAATTCCAGCATTGTGGGAGGCTAAGGTGGGCAGATCACTTGAGGTCAGGAGTTTAAGACCAGCCTGGCCAACGTGGTGAAACTCCATCTCTACTAAAAATACAAAAAATTAGCTGGGTGTGGTGTCAGGCATCTGTAATCCCAGCTACCGGAGGCTGAGGCAGGAGAATCACTTGAACCTGGGAAGTGGAGGTTGCAGTGACCCAAGATGGCGCCACTGCACTCCAGCCTGGGCAACAGAGCAAGACTATGTCTCAAAAAAAAAAAAAAAAGAAAAAAGGAGGCCAGGCACAGTGGCTCACACATGTAATCTCAGCACTGTGGAAGGCCGAGGCAGGTGGATCACGAGGTCAGGAGATCAAGATCATCCTGGCTAACACAGTGAAATCCCGTTTCTACTAAAAATATAAAAAATTAGCCAGGCGTGGTGGCATGCGCCTATAATCTCAGCTACTCAAGGGGCTAATGCAGGAGAATCACTTGAACCCAGGAAGCGGAGGTACAGTGAGCCAAAATCACGCCACCGCACTCCAGCCTGGGCAAGAGAGTGAGACTCCATCTAGGAAAAAAAAAAAGACAAGAAAGAAAGGAATTCGGCTTTGAAGTATATCCCAATATGATATATACTAATTAAAAATGGAAAATAAGAACTTTACAGTAGGAAAACCAAGCATGTACAACTTTAACCAAGTGATGAAAGTTAACATGACAGATATCACGTGCCTTCTGATATGATGCACTGAGAAATACACCTCACTCTTCCAGTATTTGTAACAAAAGTGCAAAACCTGAATCTAATTAAGATGAAACATTAGAAAAATAAAAATTGAAGAACATTCTACAAAATAAGTGGTGTATACTCCTCAAAACTATCAGGGTTATAAAAGACAAAGACTGAGAAACTGTTCCAGATTAAAGAAGACTAAAGAACAAGACAATTAAATAGATATTTAATCCAGGGTTGAATGCTGAATAGGGAAAAAATTTATTTTCCCCCAACATAAAGGGCATTATTGGGACAACAGATAAAACCAGAATAAGCACTTTAATATATTATGCTATATTACTGTATCCTGATTGATTGATTGATTGATTGATTTTGAGACAGAGTCGCTCTCCGTTGCCCAGGCTGGAGTACAGAGGCACAATCTCAGCTCACTGCAACCTCTGCCTCCCGGGTTCAAGCAATTCTCCTGCCTCAGCTTTCTGAGTAGCTGGGATTATAGGCATGCGCCACGACACTTGGCAAATTTTTGTATTTTTAGTAGAGATGGGGGTTTCACCATGTTGGCCAGGCTGGTCTTGAACTCCTGACCTCAAGTGTTTCACCCACTTTGGCCTCTCAAAGTGCTAGGATTACAGGCATGAGCCACCGCACACAGCCTGTATCTTGACTTTGATTAACACACTATTATACCGTGTTAATACAAGAGAATAAACTCATTTTTAGATAATACACACAAAAGAGGCTGGGCGCGGTGGCTCAAGCCTGTAATCCCAGTACTCTGGGAGGCAGAGGCGGGTGGATCACGAGGTCAGGAGATCGAGACCATACTGGCTAACACAGTGAAACCCCGTCTCTACTAAAAATACAAAAAATTAGCCACGCATGGTTGTGGGCGCCTGTGGTCCCAGCTACTCCGGAGGCTGAGTCAGGAGAATGACGTGAACCCGGGAGGCAGAGCTTGCAGTGAACCAAGATCAAGACTGTGCTCCAGCCTGGGCGACAGAGCGAGACTCCGTCTCAAAAAAAAAGAAGAAGAAAATATACACAAAAGCATGTAGAGGTAAAATGGCATCATGCCTGAACCACACTCCAAAATGATTCAGAAAACAGTATGTATATACAGAGAGAAAGGGGAAGAGAACCATCAAGCAATTGTGGTAAAAGGTTAATTTGGGGGAATTTGGGTGAAGCTTTTTCCTGTGTTCTACATTTTAAAATGCTCTCTGCTACATAGTTCATTTCTTCCTTAGAAACTGCCATTCTCAGTCAGGCACGATGGTTCACACCAGTAATCCCAGCACTTTGAGAGGCTAAGGTGGGAGGATCACTTGAGCCCAGGAGTTCGATACCAGCCTGGGCAAAAATATAGGGAGACCTCATCTCTACAAAAAACTAAAAAATTAGCCGGGTGTGGTGACATATACCTGTCCCACCTACTCGGGAGGCTGAGGTGGGAAGATCACTTGAGTCTGGGAGGCGGAGGTTGCAGTGGGCCAAGATCACACCACTGCACTCAAGCCTGGGTGACAGGGTGATACCTTGTCTCAAAAAAAAAAAAAAAAACCCAAACTGCCATTGTCACTTAGCAGAAAATAGCACTAGCCAAATATAAAGTATCAAAGACTAACTCTTACTTATATAAAGTTGTAGTTATCTTTTCCTCTCCCTTCCCAGCCTGAGCAACAACTAGATTACTCCATTTGACTTTCTCAGTGAAGTACAATTTTAATATTTACCTGGAAAGAATCCATGCAGACTGGACTGGAAGCCAGCTCCTCATCTACTGCATGTAACTTCTCCATGAAAGTACTATCTCTGGTCTGTTTCGGCTTTGGAGGGGGCGGGGGCCCCATGGGCACTACCTCAGCACTGATGTGCCTGATGGCTGGTGTGGTGACTTTCTCAACCTGATTAAAAGAGGTGACTGCATCAAAAAAGGAAGGAGGGAAGAAAAGAAAAAAAAAGGAAAAGAAAGGAAGGAAAGAAAGGAAAGAAAAGAGAAAGAAGAGAAGAGAAAGAAAAGAATGAAGAGAAAGAAAGAAAGAGAAAGCAAGAAAAGGAAAAAAAAGAGGGAAAAAGAGGCAGACTTTCCATACACCACTGTCCTTTCTCTTCTCTAGTTAGAGGTACATAAAAACAAAGACTCCAAGTGTATTGATCTAATTAGTTTTCATCCTATTTCTAGAGAAGTCAACAGAATGCTACTTAGTTTACCAAAATGTGGGAAATTAATAACAATGGCTTTAGGACAACATTAGAAAGCACAGATATGAAAGAAGAGAAGGGTAGGAGAAAAGAAACTCCACTAGTTGCACATTTTTGGCCCCTTAATGAGAACTCAGAAAAGTTCTTTAGTTACCACTGAGCTCTCGCCTTCTCTGAACTGTTTACTAACTTAACAAACTTTGAAAAATGGTGACAGCCCAGAATCACCATGGATAATCTACTTACACAGTTATGTCTAACTTATCTCCTTTGTATGATGCCGATTTACCTCCGATAATATGCCACTCTCCTCATCTGTTTCAGTCATCTCAGAAGACTGCCTCAATCTGGATTTCTTTGCCCCACGTGGAGATGAAGCAGTGCTTTCAACATCACTTTCCAATAAGCTCTACAAAATAAACCCAGTTCACCTTAATATTTATGCCCCTACCTCATTCCACAAAGTCTGAAGTATCTCAAGAGAAGGAATCATAAAATATCAATCACTCAGCCTGGCCAACATGGTGAAAACCCGTCTCTATTAAAAATACAAAAATAAGCCGGGCGTGGTGGTGCGCACCTGTAATCCCAGCTACTTGGGAGGCTGAGGCAGGAGAATCACTTAAATCCAGGAGACGGAGGTTGCAGTGAGTCAAGATTGCGCCACTGCACTCCAGCCTGGGTGGCAGAGCGAGACTCTGTCTCAAAAAAAAAAAAAAAAAAAAAAAAAAATCCATCATTCAACTAGTTACAGTAACAGAAAATAAAATTTAAATAGAAACTTAAAGGCCAGGTGCAGTGTCTTATGCCTGTTATCCCAGCACTTTGGAAGGTCGAGGCGGGTGGATCACTTGAGGTCAGAAGTTCAAGACCAGCCTGGCCAACATGGCAACACCCTGTCTCTACTAAAAATACAAAAATTAGCCAGGCATGGTAGCGCACGCCTGTAATCCCAGCTACTCAGGAGGCTGAGGCAGAAGAATCGCTTGAACCTGGGAGGTGGAGATTGCAGTGAGTCAACATCGCACACTGCACTCCATAGGCAACAGAGGAGATTAAAAAAAAAAAAAAATCCTAAAGGTGGGGACAGGGATCAGATCACTATCCTAATCTGTATTACAAAGTGTAAGGCCTTGGTCTAAAATCCTTTTACAAAACAATTTAAAGAATACATTAAGAAACAAGTCAAAGGACATATTAACACAGCAATGAAAGTGAACAAAGTATAGCTAAAATAGTAGTATAAATGAATCTCAAAAGCATAATGTTGAATTTTAAAAAGCTAGGAACAAAACATATAAACATGGGTCCATTTATATAAAGTTCAAAACAGTAACAATTGAACTATAGTGTGTAGAGATACATATTGAGGTGATATAACTATAAAGAAAAGCAAAGAAATAATTACTAAAAGGCAGGGTTGTAGTTATTTTTAGGGGGAGGGAGGTGATTATGACTGGGGAGGGTATATGGGGGTGTCCTAGTAATGTTATAGTTCTTGACTTTGCTATGAGTTTCATGAGGATTTGCATTATAATAACCGAAGCTATACATTTTTATTCTACGCATGTTTCTATGCTATATTTCATAATACAATAGATTATAAAATTAAGGGAGTATAAAAGGCAGAAAAACAGCTTAAAGCACAGAAATGAGCTGAAAAAATAACCATGTCTCAATCCTCTCTGCAAGTGACATTACTAAAGAAGCAAAGTATACCCTGCTTTATTAAGACAAACATTACCAAGTAACATTCACTGACCTCTTCAGCAGTTTCATCTTCTTCTTCATCATCCGGCTGGTATTCTTCATCTGAGGAATCATCTTCTTCAAGGTGGATATCCACAAACTGAGGAGGCTACATTAGTACAATTAGAAAGAAATGAACTAATGGGAAACACAAATCATACGTATTTGGAAAATAAGGGGAAGAAGCAGGGCAGGAAAAAAAAAAAAAATCCTAAGAGCATAATGTACAGCTAAAGCAAATAACACGAGGCAGAGGTTAAAGTGAATTCCATGAGATGCAAACCTAAGAGTAATAGAATGGAAAAAAACAAAGCTGGAATTAAAACAAAGATTGATCAAGAAAAGTTAAAGAGGAAGTACTTAAGTTTCAAAACCGATGAAGTCTTTCTGGAAAAGAATAACAATTATTTCTTCCAAGTTTACCTTAATTTCATTGGCCTTCTTAATTGGTGAAATATTCCATGTTGGAATTACCTACCAACAAAGAATATAAATAAGTTATCTTAACTGAAATAATTGTTTTTCATGTTTACTTCCTCTGTACCATCACTAACAGCCATATACTTAACAAGTACCTGCAGTGATCTAGAGGTGTTGTTATCCCTGAGGGTATACTCTCAATTATTTGTCAGAGTTAGAAAGAAGGAAACGAGGAAAGAATCTATTACAGTCATGAGCATTTCTGCCTTACACTTGGTAAGCCTCACTTCTTTCTATAAATGAAGAAAACAATGTCTACCTTGTTCATATCACAGCTGCAGTTCACATGGAACAACAGATGTGAAAACTATTTATAAACTATTAAACTACATAAATCTAAGATATTTTGGTTACAGTAGTCTTTTAACAGCAATATATTTTTGTAATCAGTTACATAAATCCACCGTACGTACAACTCCAAAAGCCAGCCATGAAAAGCTTTTATGGACTATTCTGCCTATGGAGTAGACCTGCTCTGCCTATGGAGCTGCTTTTTAAAAGAAAAAAACAAAAAAAACACTTTTACTAGGGGATTTAGGGCAAAGTTTCAAGTTGTCTACACTTATTTGTCCAATAGGACATGAAAAAACAACACAGAGATATAAAGCAAATATGGCAAAATATTACTCTTAGAATTTACATACATTGTAACAATCTTTCAATTTTTTGAATGTTTGAAAATTTTTATAAGAGCTAGAGGGAAAGTTTTTCTTGTTTTTGTTTTTGTTTTGAGACAGGATCTTGCCCTGTTGCCCAGGCTAGAGCAGTAGCACTATCAGAGCTCACTGCAGCCTCAAATTCCTGAGCTCAAGTGATCCTCCTGCCTCAGCCTCCTGATTAGGACTACAGGCATGCCTCCTCACCAGACCTCGCTAATTTTTAAAATTTTTTGTAGAGACAGAGTCTCATTAGATTTCCTAGGCTGGTCTCAAACTCCTGAGCTCAAACAATCCTCCCATCTCAGCCTCTCAAAGCACTGGGATTATAGGTGTGAGCCACCACACCTAGCCTAAAGAACTTTTTTAAAGTTCTTATATATTGCTGATAAAATGCCATTGAGGATGTATAATTTCTTGACCATTTAATTGTAACCCAACCAAAATCACCTTATGAACAAAAGCCAACTGGTCATTAGGTTCTGTCTCTAAAAGGAGTCTTAGCTTCTCAAATCAAATCAGCCCTGCTATGTTCTGACCATTTACCTAGTGCTGTGTAGATGGGACCAATATAGGGTAAAGGGAATGATGTGATTCAGGTCCATTTCCCTTTCCTACCTACTGCCAAATCCATTAGAAAGGCAAGCCAGCATTCAGAAGTGTGTTGGAGTCAGTCTAGTAAGAATTAAGAAGGCCAAGTATAGTGGCTCATGCCTGTAATCCCTGCACGTAGGGAGATCAAGACAGAAGGATCACTTGAGCCCAGGAGTTTGAGATGAGCCTGGGCAACACAGCAAGACCCTATTTCTACAAAAAAAAGTTTCAAAAAAACCAATTAGCTGGGCATGGTGGCACATGCCTGTAGGCCTAGCTGTTTGCCAGGCTGAGGCAGGAGGATCCCTTGAGCACAGGAGTTCAAGGCAGCAGTGAGCTATGATTAGGCCACTGTACTCTAGCCTGAGCAACAGAGCAAGTCTCTAAAAAAAAAAAAAGAAAGAAAGAAGCAGCAAGAGACCTACATTTTAATACCTGCTCTCCTACATAAACTACACAGTCTTGGATGGCCCAACTTCTCTACATCTATATTTATGGCCAATAAACACAATCCAGAGCCTAATTTGGATCTCCTTGGATTTTTTTTCACCAAATCAAATAAAGAATTAATGTTAATTATATTCTTTTTTTTTTTCCTGTAAGACAGAGTCTTGCTCTATCACCCAGGCTGGAGTGCAGTGGTATGATCTCCGCTCACTGCAACCTCTCCCTACTGGGTTCAAGCGATCCTCTTGTCTCTGTAGCGGGATTACAGGTGTCCACCACCACGCCCGGCTAATTGTTGTATTTTTAGTAGAGACGGGGTTTCACCATGTTGGCCAGGCTGGTCTCAAACTCCTGACCTCAGGTGATCCACCTGCCTCCTCCTCCCAAAGTGCTGGAATTACAGGCGTGAGCCACCGTGCCCAGCCATGTTAATTATATTCTATATGTCAAGTAGACTTCACAGAACTTCCTCATTGATAGCTGCTTTCATCATAGCTACCACCTATTCATTTGTGATCACATCCTGGAGAAAGATGAAATTTCAATTTATGCAATGAGGGTTAGTCAACCAGACCAAAAAAGTTACGTGATTGCCAAAAAAAAGGTCGATTTGACCTTAGATACATTAGGATAAATATATAATCTGGAACACTGTGGAGATAATCTAACTATACTAAACCACATCTGGTTCAGCAGTCTTCTTTTGGCATACCTTTTTTTTTTTTTTGAGACGGAGTCTCGTTCTATCGCCCAGGCTGGAGTGCAGTGGCGCGATCTTGGCTCACTGAAAGCTCTGCCTCCCAGGTTCACGCCATTCTTCTGCCTCAGCCTCCAGAGTAGCTGGGACTACAGGCGTCTGCCACCACGCCTGGCTAATTTTTTGTATTTTCAGTAGAGACGGGGTTTCACCATGTTAGCCAAGATGGTCTCCATCTCCTGACCTCACGATCCGCCCACCTCGGCCTCCCAAAGTGCTGGGATTACAGGCGTGAGCCACCGTGCCCGGCTCTTTTGGCATACTTTTAAAAGGATATGGGATGGGCACAGTGGCTCATGCCTGTAATCCTAGCATGTTGGGAGGCCAAGGCGGGTGATCACATGGGCCAATTCAAAAGCAGCCTGGCCAACATGGTGAAACTCCACCTCTACTAAAAATACAAAAAATAGACGTGTGTGGTGATGCATGCCTATAATCCCAGCTACTGAGCAGGCTGAGGTATGAGAATCACTTGAACCTGGGAGCCAGAGGTTGCGGTGAGCTGAGATTGCACCACTGCATTTCAGCCTGGGTGACAGAGTGAGACTCCATCTCAAAACAAAAAGGCCAGACACAGTGGCTCCGCCTGTAATCCCAGTACTTTGGGAGGCCGAGGCGGGTAGATCACTTGAGGTCAGGAGTTTGAAACCAGGCTGGCCAACATGGTGAAACCCCATCTCTACTAAAAAAAAAAAAAAAAAAAAAAATTAGCCGTGCATGGTGGTATGCACCTGTAATCCTAGCTACTCAGGAGGCTGAGGTAGAAGAATCACTTAAACTTGGGAGGCGGAGGTTGCAGTGAGCCAGAATCGTGCCACTGCACTCCAGCCTGGATGATGAAGCAAGACTCCATCTCAAAAAAAAAAGTGGGGGGACAAATTGGGGGATGTATAGCCAAGAAAATGTTATGAAACGACATACTAGTTTTTTTCAACTGTAGGAAAAGTCATGTGGAAGAATACACCAATTTCTTTTCTTGCTTTTTTTTCTAGACAGGGTCTCATTATGTTGCCCAGGCTGCTCTTGAACTCCTGGCTTCAAGCGATCTTCCTACCTCTACCTACCAAAGTGCTGGGATCACAGGTATGAGCCACGACGCCCAGCCTAGACTTGTTTCTTCTATCAGGCTCCAAGGAATAAAACCAGGACAGATAAAACCTATGATACGTATTTTCAGTCTGTAAGGCAAATCTTCCTTACTATCAGAAATATAATGAACTCCCTCATGACTATTAACTGTCTTGTAAGCACGAACTAGTCAAGTGCTTATTAAGAAGGATATGGCATAGCTCCAAGCACCAAAGAGCTTGCTGTACCAGAATACTTCAGATGTCTTCAAGTGGTTCTCACACTTTAGTATTCAAAAGAATTAACTGTTGTGTTTTTGCCAATGCATATTCCAAGGCCCTGCCCATGGGTCCTGATTCTCTGGTCTGGGGTGGGTCCAAAAGTATGGGGATTATTTTGTTTTTGTTTTTGTTTTTTTGAGACAGTCTCACTCCATTGCCCAGGCTGTAGTGCAGTGGTGTAATCTCCACTCATTGCAACCTCCGCCTCCCAGGTTCAAGCGATTCTTGTGCCTCAGCCTCCCAAGCAGCTGGGATTACAGGCGCACACCTCCACGCCCAGCTAATTTTTGTATTTTTAGTAGAGACAGAGTTTCACTATGTTGGCCAGGCTGGTCTCGAACTCCTGACTTCAAGTGATTCACCTGCCTCGGCCTCCCAAAGTGCTGGGATTACAGGCATGAGCCACTACACCTGGCCAAAAGTATGCATTTTTAATAAGCAGGCCTGAGGGATCCCACACCAAAGTGATTTTTATGGAACTGTCCCCTAGAACACACTATGAAAAATACTAAACACTTTGCAACAAGTGTTGTAACATAAATAGAAAAACTGGTCTCACCCATTGGTTTCAGCCATTCCAAATGGTTATCTTTCTAGCAATTCCGAAAAGCAATGCTTCATATCTACTAAAATAAACTATGATCATTATAGCTTATGATCATGTAGAAACAATTCTACTGTCTTTTACAAATATTTCTTTAAAGAGGAAAATTCAGACCACAATCTTTCCTATATTTTTCCCTATGGGTGAATTAGATCCTATTTACCAAGCTAAAAACAACCAACAAACAAAAAAACAGAATGCTTACCACTCCTTTTTCCACTACTTCCTTCAGTTTAGAGCGTGTCATTTTAGGCTCCTAAGGAGAAAAAAACAGAAAGGAAATATTCATTAAAAATCACAGCTCAGTGAGGTGGCTCATGCCTGTAATCCTAGCATTTTAGGGGCAAGGTGGGAGGATGGCTTGAGGTCAGGAGTTTGAGACCAGCCTGGGCAACATAGTGAGACACCCCCTACAAAAAAAATTGTTTTAAATTAGCTGGGCATAGTCGCATGCTCCTGTAGTCCCAGCTACTCAGGAGGCTGAACCGGGAGGATCTCTGAGTTCAGCTTAGGAGTTTGAGTCTAGCCTTGGTGACACAGCACGACCTTGTCTCTAAAAAATAATAATAATAAAATAACAAATAAAATAAATAAAAATTACCACGTAATTCTTGTGTTTTAGGATGCTAACTTTCACCCCAGCTGCCAAACTGTTTACAAACTCCTCAGTGACTTCCTACCCTTAGCCAGTTTACAGAAAACTCTGTTCCAAGACATTAAAAGAGTCAACTACTCACAAACATTGGCATATCTTCTGACTCACTGATGGCTGCTTTCATCATAGCTACCACGTGTTCATTTGTGATTACTTCCTGGAGAAAGATGAAATTACACATTATGCAACAAGGGTTTGTCACCTAGACAATACTCTTCTCTCTATGTAACTCTGTTAGACGTGTGTACAGGACAAATGAGAACCATACACTCGAATAGCATCAGACTGGGATAAAGCAACGCAACTGAAAGCAAAGAAGGCAGAAGTAAGTTTTGGCCAGAACCACAGTTTCAAACAAGGTAGCAGCAAATGAACCAATCTCATTAGCTGCTACTAGGAACAGGAATGGCTCCATAAAAAGAGATCCTGAGGTAAGTAACTACATGCTTAAGAGTAACAAAGAGCAAAGGCTCTGCAAATAGCTGTGTTGCTACATATCAAGAAAAGTATTTACATATGTACGAAGAGCAATAAACTATTAACCAGGCATCTTTTTAGACATATCGACCCACAAAAGAGTAAACCCACTATGAACATTATCAACATTGAATCTGCTAAACAATACAGTAAATATGCAAATCAGTGGAAAACAGAAACAGTTTATCTTTCCAATTAAATTCTTCTTTAACGTGTTCATATTTCAAACTTGTACTGAGTACAAGGCGAAAGCTATCTTAAATATGTAAAAATGTAAAATGTTCTATCACAGGTAACCCATAAAATCGGTAATTAACATGCCAAGAGTCAAGAATTTGCTGAGTATTTTTATACGCTTTCCATGAAAAAGTTCCCTTCCATTAACATAGCTGCCCCAGTCTTACTCACATGAAGGATGTTTCGGACATTGACCGCTGTTAGATTGTGCTGCTTGGCACCATCCTCCAAGGTACGGTCAAGCATGTCGTCCAGTTTCAGGTCATATGCCAAGGTCCCTTCTTGACCCCTTCCATCTCGTTTCCTCTTGGTACCCTTTTTCTTTTTTCTCCTTTTCTCACTTTCTTCATTGTCTTGTTCTTCTGCAAATAAACCAAGAGCATCACCAGAATTCCGAAATAGCTGCTCCAGGAACTTAGCCCAGAAAGCTGATAGTAAAGTGGATAAATCTCAAAAGCATTATGCCAAGTGAAAGAAACCAGATGTAAAAGGACACATATTATATGACAGTATACCCAGTATAGAACATTTGCACAGAAGATGCAGAACTATGGAAATAGAAAAGAAATTAGTGGTTGCCAATGTTTGAGAACAGGGGATAGCAAAGGGGAATTAGGCAACTTTTGGGGTGACAGAAATGTTCCACATTGGTTGTGGCAGCACTTAACACAACTGTATATATTTTTCTTTCTTTTGTTTTTTTGAGATGGAGTTTTGCTCTTGTTGCCCAGGCTGGAGTGCAATGGTGCAATCTTGGCTCACCGTAACCTCTGTCTTCTGGGTTCAAGTGATTCTCCTGCCTCAGCCTCCTGAGTAGCTGGGATTACAGGCGTGTGTCACCACGCCCAGCTAATTTTGTATTTTCAGTAAAGACCGGGTTTCTCCATGTTGCTCAGGCTGGTCTCAAACTCCCAACCTCAGGTGATCCACCCGCCTCAGCCTGCCAAAGTGCTGAGATTACAGGCGTGAGCCACCACGCTTGGCCCCACTGTACATATTTTTCAAAACTCATCAGATACATTTTATTTTATACCTCAATAAACCTAATGTAACTTACTACATTAACAAAACGAAAGAGGAAAAAAACATGATCTTAATAGAGATAGGAAAAAGCATTTGATGAAATTCAATATATGAAAAAACTCAGAAAACTTAGGAAAAGAAAATTATTTCCTTAACCTAAAAAATATTTCTATGGAAAGCCTGTAACTGTCCTCATATATAATGAAGGAATACTGAACATTTTCCTGTTGTGTTCAGAAATAAGACACAGATGTCAACTATCACTACTACTTATAACCTACATACTAATGAAGGTCTAGAATATGCAATAAGAAAAATTACATGTTCATTTTAAAACCATTTGCCAAAGTGAGGCTGGACACAGTGGCCCACTGCCTGTAATCCCAGCCCTTTGGGAGCCCAAGGCAGGTAGATCACCTGAGGTCAGAAGTTCAAGACCAGCCTGGCCAACATGGTGAAACCCTGTCTCTACTGAAAATACAAAATTAGCCGGGCACGGTGGTGTGCCCCTGTAATTCCAATTACTCAGGAGGCTAAGACAGGAGAATCACTTGAACCCGGGAGATGGAGGCTGCAGTGAGCCGAGATCACACCACTACACTCAAGCCTAGGCGACGGAGCAAGATTCACACACACACACAAACCATTTGCTAAATCAAATAAAGAAGTCTTTAGTCATGTGTCTGTGTTATGCTTCACAATAAAAAATTCAGTATTTCAAAAGAATTTTAAGGATGCCTAACCTTATGAGCTAGCATTTCCATCCAACAAAAAAGAAGTACACATGTTCAGCAAAAAATCTATAGATTATTCACAGCAGCACCACTCAGAGTAGCTACAACTGAAAACTATCCAAATGCTCATCAAGAATTGAATGGGGCCACGTGCAGTGGTTTGCACCTGTGACCCAGCACTCTGGAGGCCAAGGTGGGCGGATCATTTGAGGTCAGGAGTTCAAGACCAGCCTGAGCAACATGGTGAAACTCTGCCTCTACTAAAAAAAAAAAAAAAATTAGCTGGCTGTGGTGGCACGTGCCTTTAGTCCCAGCTACTTGGGAAACTGAAGCAGGAGAATCGCTTGAACCCAGGAGGGAGCGGTTGCAGTGAGCCAAGATTGCACCATTGCACTCCAGCCTGGGCGACGAGAGCAAAACTCCATATCAAAAAA